GCCACGTGATGAAGAATCTTTCACTAAGAGCTTTCTAACTGAGTCGAACTCATCAGCCCGTTCAACTAAACAGGGTAAGAGCTCGACTTGTACCAAGTCGAGTCCATCAAAGTGCTCAGCAAAGTAATTGAAGAAATCAGTTTTTACCAAACTAAGTTTCTTGATCTGTTTGAAAAATGTAAAGTGTGCTCGGCGTTCGACATGTCCGAGCTGTTTAAAACGATAGATGGAAAGTTAAATATAAAAAGCACAAAAGACCAAGGTGAAAGGTACGCTGAATTCTCCTTATCTTAATGCAATTCTCTCTGTTCCATTACTGACTTAAACATTAGAGTGCCTTCGATCGAAGCACTTCGATTTTGGGCAGTTTGTTCGTTTTACAGAAAAAAAAATTTGAAGATTATTCAGTATTCTTTTCTAGAAATCACATCGCAAATTCACCATCAAAGGTATCTCTGATTTTTTGCCTCTACAACATATATTTCGTATACATTAATTTCATATAAAAATACAATGATAAAATATGTATATATATATATAAATTTTAAATTAAAAAAAATATTTTTTCCATCTTAATTAAAAATTTGGATTTATTTTTTAATTAAAATTTGGTCAACACGAATATAAACATGAACACGATAAAAAAATAAACAGGTCAACTTGTAACTCAACACGATATAATTAGTTAAATAAATTGAGTTAAGTTTGACTAATGTTCAACACAAACTCGTAATGATTTAACACAAATCTGACCCGACAAGACTCGATTTTCATCCCTAATTTTTGCCAGCACAAAAAATAAAATTAATTATTTTTATTTTTCATCCATCCAACCAAACACAAAGGAAGAAAAATGTATCATTTCTACTTTCCTTTCTTGAAGGATAGAAAGTGTATCTCTCATACTTTCCATTCTCCTTACTTTTCATCCTTCTTACCAAACGGAACATTAGTGTTAGTGTAGAGAATTTGTTTTTAACCGAACCAAAAAAGGAAAATAATACTATTTAAACCTAAAAATTTGATATAATTTGTTGATATAATAATGTGATTTCAATAAAACCATTGAATTAACACTAAATTCTAATGTTTGATGGGTCTCACATCCAACTGATTCGGACACCCTCACCGTTGAAACAAAAAAAAAAAAAATTAACTGCCTTTCCAAGCACTGCACTGGTTATATTCTTGCAATTTTTCTTTTGTCAGTAATGAAAGGGAATTTAATTGATTAATGTTAGATGGATCTAAAAATTACACTTAAAAATTAAATTTGATAATCTTAATTATTGAATAAGTAGTGGGTTCCAATAAATACTGGGACCATAATAAAATCAATACTTGAGATTATCAAATAATTTTTAAGTTTATATAGTATTACTCTTTTTAATTATGTATTATGAAGCTAAATGCTACAATTGATTATACAATNAACTATTTTTAATATAAACCATATTTGTATCCATATTTTTAAAAAAAAATCATGTCACTTATTTTTTCTTACATCATCAAAATAATCCAACAGGTGTCTTTGTCGGTACAAGCAACACTCATCCATGTAATTNATAGTTTTTTATTCTTAAAATTTTAAAAACACCAAAAACTTGTTTGTTTAATTTTTTTGTTTTTTATTTTTTTTGAAATTTTGGGAATTGAGATGTGATTATAGAGCACAATAAAATGATGTTNACAGTTTTTTATTCTTAAAATTTTAAAAACACCAAAAACTTGTTTGTTTAATTTTTTTGAAATTTTGGGAATTGAGATGTGATTATAGAGCACAATAAAATGATGTTTTCATTGTTTTCTAANTTATGGTTATTAAATATTAAGTCTTTGATTTTTTTTTAAATATCACTTACATATCGGGTGTTTTAAAAAATTAGAAGTTAACAATAAATATTTTTAAAAATATAGGAGGATAATAATGGAAATTTTTAAAAGTTGATGGGTGGGTGACTTTCTCATGGTTNTTTTCATTGTTTTCTAAGGCAAAATGAGGTCCACTCATCAAACTTCCTTAGCGATAAAATGCATTTTTTTTCTTTCAAGTATAGAAGCCCTTCACTGCCTGATTTCTCCATCTATTCTCTCTCTCTCTCTCCAACGAAGAAAGAGATCTCCGNTCACATCGCTTGTCATTTTTACCGTAGAAATTAATTCTCCATGGTGGAAAGTAATGTAATGTTCTTTCGACATCAATAAGCTGCTTGGTTTAAAGAGCAATCGAAAGTCCAATAATACAGCAAGCAGCCACTCTTCCATCTACCTCACCTGTTCTCTTGTTTTACTTTTCCAACACACACACACACACACACACTTATAATAACCCTTTAAAATCACTATGGCAAAATCCATTTTCCAACAAAAAAAAGTTTTTTTTTCCCGGAAAAGTTGAGTTCATTTGTTCAGCAAAAGAAAAGATTATAAAATATGTGGACTTACAACTACTCTTGACTACCTTTTCCTTAAAAAAATAAATTTTGTACATCCAATAATTGGAGGTTACTACTGGGCCCTCCATGTCATGATTGTAGGATATTCCAACTAGGGTGTTAATTTTTAACTAGATTACGAACCTGATTCGAACCGAATTCGACATGAACTCAAAAATAACACGATTCATTGACATAAGAAATTAATGGGTCAAATTAAGGTTCGACACGAATAACATGATTAATGAGTACCGTAGATAAAAAATAATTATTTAATAAGTATTTTAGATAAAAAATAAGAATTTTATAATTTTTTAAATAATATTATATTAGTCGTTGTCAAATTAAATAATTTTTTATTAACACGAATATCGACACGAACCCGGCACGTACCAAAAATAATACGACACGAAAATAACACGACCGAAAGTGATACGACACGACACGATTGATACCCCTAATTCCAACCATAGACTAATGAACCGCCTTTAACCCCACATGGTAGATAAAGATGTACCACCGACAAATTAAAAATTAATATATTTTAAATTTGAATTTTGATAATCTTTTAATATCAGGTTATGAGAAATTTATCTCTCATAAATACCTTATGCTCCATTTGGTATAATAGAAAGTTGAAAGGATAGAAAATTGGAGGGATAAGAAAAATCATGTTTGGTAGGGAAAAAAAATAGAAAAGATCAAAAAGTAGATGAATTATTTTCCTTCCAACTCACCAAAATCAATCTCTTCAAAATTGGAAGGAAAGTTGATGAAAAGTTAATTATTTGTATTAAGATGTATCTTATTTGTCTATATATCTTTTGATATATACATATGAAGGGGTTAAACCTCATGATTATACGTGACATAGCATTAAATGTGTTCACATGATGTTGATAAGACCAGCCACGTGATGAAGAATCTTTCACTAAGAGCTTTCTAACTGAGTCGAACTCATCAGCCCGTTCAACTAAACAGGGTAAGAGCTCGACTTGTACCAAGTCGAGTCCATCAAAGTGCTCAGCAAAGTAATTGAAGAAATCAGTTTTTACCAAACTAAGTTTCTTGATCTGTTTGAAAAATGTAAAGTGTGCTCGGCGTTCGACATGTCCGAGCTGTTTAAAACGATAGATGGAAAGTTAAATATAAAAAGCACAAAAGACCAAGGTGAAAGGTACGCTGAATTCTCCTTATCTTAATGCAATTCTCTCTGTTCCATTACTGACTTAAACATTAGAGTGCCTTCGATCGAAGCACTTCGATTTTGGGCAGTTTGTTCGTTTTACAGAAAAAAAAATTTGAAGATTATTCAGTATTCTTTTCTAGAAATCACATCGCAAATTCACCATCAAAGGTATCTCTGATTTTTTGCCTCTACAACATATATTTCGTATACATTAATTTCATATAAAAATACAATGATAAAATATGTATATATATATATAAATTTTAAATTAAAAAAAATATTTTTTCCATCTTAATTAAAAATTTGGATTTATTTTTTAATTAAAATTTGGTCAACACGAATATAAACATGAACACGATAAAAAAATAAACAGGTCAACTTGTAACTCAACACGATATAATTAGTTAAATAAATTGAGTTAAGTTTGACTAATGTTCAACACAAACTCGTAATGATTTAACACAAATCTGACCCGACAAGACTCGATTTTCATCCCTAATTTTTGCCAGCACAAAAAATAAAATTAATTATTTTTATTTTTCATCCATCCAACCAAACACAAAGGAAGAAAAATGTATCATTTCTACTTTCCTTTCTTGAAGGATAGAAAGTGTATCTCTCATACTTTCCATTCTCCTTACTTTTCATCCTTCTTACCAAACGGAACATTAGTGTTAGTGTAGAGAATTTGTTTTTAACCGAACCAAAAAAGGAAAATAATACTATTTAAACCTAAAAATTTGATATAATTTGTTGATATAATAATGTGATTTCAATAAAACCATTGAATTAACACTAAATTCTAATGTTTGATGGGTCTCACATCCAACTGATTCGGACACCCTCACCGTTGAAACAAAAAAAAAAAAAATTAACTGCCTTTCCAAGCACTGCACTGGTTATATTCTTGCAATTTTTCTTTTGTCAGTAATGAAAGGGAATTTAATTGATTAATGTTAGATGGATCTAAAAATTACACTTAAAAATTAAATTTGATAATCTTAATTATTGAATAAGTAGTGGGTTCCAATAAATACTGGGACCATAATAAAATCAATACTTGAGATTATCAAATAATTTTTAAGTTTATATAGTATTACTCTTTTTAATTATGTATTATGAAGCTAAATGCTACAATTGATTATACAATCTGATTATACTTTTTTTCAAGTCAAACTTGTGCCGTACAGGATAAAACCCGTTTTTACATTCTAGTTTAATGTGCGGTGAAGGCTTGCAGACCATTCTTATCCAAAGATTCCCCGAAAATTAGGCAGTGTCATTCACCTAGAGGATGCAAGGCCTATTCAATGAGACTAAGCTGAATACCAGCTTTGAATATTTACAACATATTCTCTCTCTTTCTGCTGAAAACAATGGAAGAAAGACACCAAAAGCCTCACGCAATCTTCGTATTCTACCCATTACAAGGCCATGTTATCCCATCTGTCCACTTAGCCATCAAACTTGCAGAAAGAGGCTTCACCATAACCGTCATCAACACACACTCCATACACCACCAAACCTCCAGAGCCCAACCCGATGGCGAAGATGACATGTTTGCCACCGTCCGGCAAAAGGGTCTCGACATCCGTTACACCACCGTGCCGGACGGCCTTCCTGTGGGGTTCGACCGGTCGCTAAACCATGACCAGTTCATGGCTACTTTGTTGCATGTGTTCTCTGCCCATGTGGAGGAGGCGGTGGAGAAGATTGTGAGGTCGGAACCGCTGGTGAGTTGTTTGATCGCCGATACGTTCTTTGTGTGGCCGGGGAAGCTGGCAAGGAAGTACGGGCTTCTGTATATATCTTTCTGGACAGAGCCGGCCTTAGTTTTTACACTGTATTATCACCTGGACCTTCTGAGGATACATGGCCACTTTGGTTGTATTGGTAACTCTCTCTCTCTCNCTCTCTCTCTCTCTCCAACGAAGAAAGAGATCTCCGGCGAAGACGAAGACGACGACAAAGATCTTCATCTCCTCTCTCTCTCTTTCTTTGTGCAGCTCGTCCTCTTTAACGAAGACGAAGACAAGGCCTTTCTTTTTTTAGATCTGGGTTCAGTGTTTCTTTGTGTGTTTTGGTGGTGCTTTGTAGGTTTTGGTGGTGGTTGTGAGTTTTAGATGGTTGTGGATTTTGGTGGTGATTTGTGGGTTTTGGTGCTGGTTGTGGGTTTCCGTGGTTGTGGGTTTCCCATTTGGTTTTGTGCTTTGTGGTCTTGATGCACAGTGAAAGAGAGTGAGATAAAGAGTTGAAACAAATTTTATAATTTTATTGTCCAATTAAATTTTATAATTTTTGTTGTTAAAACTATTTTCAAAAATATATAATCAAACAAGTTTTACAATCTAAAATTTTTTAAAAACACTTTCTTAAAACTCTTCTCAAAAATAATTTTTAAATACTATTTTTTGAGATACAAACTAAACAGGCCATTAGTGTTTGACATGTCTCTAAAGTTCGTATTTCATTGATTAGAGATAAGTTCGTGTTATTTTTGAATTTATTTAGTGACATAGAAGAAAATAGTAAAAATGTATTCAATCAATCTATAATTTCATATATATAAGTGCAAGTTGCGTGCCATTTATTAACTAGGTGTGCAAGTGTTTTCTCGCACAATTGTGGGATAGCAGTACCCTGGTTGGTACTCGAAAGATGCTCTTTAACTGGACAATGGCCAAAACTTATCATTCCTTATGATAATTAAGTCAATTTTTGAGGAGAGAAGACGATAGTGTAAAAATGTTGGGTACGATGGCGTGTCCTTATCTCTCGTGTAAGATTGCTATTTATACTATACTAGTAGATGAGAGTGTTTATCGACGACATCCATTTGATCCCCTTTGGCGGGAAAGCCCCCTAATTGGCTCACATTTGGTTGGTTTGACATATCACGTCTTGTCATTAGGGTTTGATCGGTTCATCCTTATGATCTAAACTCGTTAATTTTAAACTTATTTGTTGTAGTTCGATACATAATTTATGTCAAAATGATAGACCGTGTTAAAAATTATCAGCCTACTATTAAGTTGAAAAAATTATTAATAAATATTGCTTTTTTCTTATAAATATTCATCTATTAAAAGGTATAAAAATAAAAAAGAAAAAAAATTATGTTAATGAAGTCATATTTTTAATGTTTTATTTCACTAAAGTCCTAATGTCATTCATTATATTCTAATTTTATCTTTAACTTTTAGCTACCAAACTCTTTCATTATTTTTTATTATTTCTAATATGTCACAACTTTTATAGTTAACGTGCTTTTTTTTGGGTGGAGATTGTGGATTAGATTTTCTTTTTACTTTTTGTTCTCACTTTTTGCCCGTAGGAAAATTACTAGAGTTAAGAAACAAGTCATTGTTATGTATCAACTGTTATCTAATTTAATTTTATGGTTTTTTGAGAGTGAATTAATTTTCATCCCATTCTGATTCGAGTTAATTTACTTATTTTTTTTTAGAAATAATGTTGAATTTTTATTTAAGTTATTGTTACAGATACATCAATGTTCAATTTTTATTTACGTAATAATATTCACTTTAATCGTGATTCTAACAGTGCAAAGTACTTAGAGTTCTTACGATGAAACTCTTCTCTATTGAGAATATATAAGGTCCAAAGCCCTTTGTTGCATCACACAAGAACAATTCTAAAAAATATTAGTAATTGAATATTTTATAAAACAAAGAAGGCAATACATAATTTAACAAGTCAGAGTATGTATGAATGAAAGAAAACCAACATTATAGTCCCCAATACCTTATGTATCAATATTTATCAAGAGAAGGATAAAATTATAACAAAATATAGTATTTATAGAATTTACAACTTCATTCAAATAAATTACCTAGAGTTAGATTTTATTGATATAAAACAAAAATAATATGACTTAATAGATATTTGGGATAAAAAATAATACTTATTAGTAATTTTTTCTATTAAGGTTGTGCTTGTGTAACCTTATGTCTATAAATAAATCAAGGTCGCAAATAATAATTTTATATGATACTATAATAAAAATGAATTATAAGTCATGAACTAGCTATTTTTAATATAAACCATATTTGTATCCATATTTTTAAAAAAAAATCATGTCACTTATTTTTTCTTACATCATCAAAATAATCCAACAGGTGTCTTTGTCGGTACAAGCAACACTCATCCATGTAATTATGGTTATTAAATATTAAGTCTTTGATTTTTTTTTAAATATCACTTACATATCGGGTGTTTTAAAAAATTAGAAGTTAACAATAAATATTTTTAAAAATATAGGAGGATAATAATGGAAATTTTTAAAAGTTGATGGGTGGGTGACTTTCTCATGGTTACTCTGGTCACATCGCCTGTCATTTTTACCGTAGAAATTAATTCTCCATGGTGGAAAGTAATGTAATGTTCTTTCGACATCAATAAGCTGCTTGGTTTAAAGAGCAATCGAAAGTCCAATAATACAGCAAGCAGCCACTCTTCCATCTACCTCACCTGTTCTCTTGTTTTACTTTTCCAACACACACACACACACACTTATAATAACCCTTTAAAATCACTATGGCAAAATCCATTTTCCAACAAAAAAAAGTTTTTTTTTCCCGGAAAAGTTGAGTTCATTTGTTCAGCAAAAGAAAAGATTATAAAATATGTGGACTTACAACTACTCTTGACTACCTTTTCCTTAAAAAAATAAATTTTGTACATCCAATAATTGGAGGTTACTACTGGGCCCTCCATGTCATGATTGTAGGATATTCCAACTAGGGTGTTAATTTTTGACTAGATTACGAACCTGATTCGAACCGAATTCGACATGAACTCAAAAATAACACGATTCATTGACATAAAAAATTAATGGATCAAATTAAGGTTCGACACGAATAACATGATTAATGAGTACCGTAGATAAAAAATAATTATTTAATAAGTATTTTAGATAGAAAATAAGAAATTTATAATTTTTTAAATAATATTATATTAGTCGTTGTCAAATTAAATAATTTTTTATTAACACGAATATCGACACGTAGCAAAAGTAATACGACACGAAAATAACACGACCGAAAGTGATACGACACGACATGATTGATACCCCTAATTCCAACCATAGACTAATGAACCGCCTTTAACCCCACATGGTAGATAAAGATGTACCACCGACAAATTAAAAATTAATATATTTTAAATTTGAATTTTGATAATCTTTTAATATCAGGTCATGAGAAATTTATCTCTCATAAATACCTTATGCTCCATTTGGTACAATAGAAATTTGAAAGGATAGAATATTGGAGGGATAAGAAAAATCATGTTTGGTAGGAAAAAAAAATAGAAAAGATCAAAAAGTAGATGAATTATTTTCCTTCCAACTCACCAAAATCAATCTCTCCAAAATTGGAAGGAAAGTTGATGAAAAGTTTATTATTTGTATTAAGATGTATCTTATTTGTCTATATATCTTTTGATATATACATATGAAGGGGTTAAACCTCATGATTATACGTGACATAGCATTAAATGTGTTCACATGATGTTGATAAGATCAGCCACGTGATGAATAATCTTCCACTAAGAGCATTCTAACCGAATCGAACTCATCAGCCCGTTCAGCTAAACAGGGTAAGAGCTCGACTTGTACCAAGTCGAGTCCATCAAAGTGCTCAGCAAAGCAATTGAAGAAATCAGTTTGTACCAAACTAAGTTTCTTGATCTGTTTGAAAAATGTAAAGTGTGCTCGGCGTTCGACATGTCCGAGCTATTTAAAACGATAGATGGAAAGTTAAATATAAAAAGCACAAGAGACCAAGGTGAAAGGTACGCTGAATTCTCCTTATCTTAATGCAATTCTCTCTGTTCCATTATTGACTTAAGCATCAGAGTGCCTTCGATCGAAACACTTCGATCTTAGGCAGTTTGTTCGTTTTACAGAAAAGAAATTTGAAGATTGTTCAGTATTCTTTTCTAGAAATCACATCGCAAATTCACCATCAAAGGTATCTCTGATTTTTTGCCTCTACAACATATATTTCGTATACATTAATTTCATATGAAAATACAATGATAAAATATGTATATATATATATAAATTTTAAATTAAAAAAAATATTTTTTCCATCTTAATTAAAAATTTGGATTTATTTTTTAATTAAAATTTGGTCAACACGAATATAAACATGAACACGATAAAAAAATAAACAGGTCAACTTGTAACTCAACACGATATAATTAGTTAAATAAATTGAGTTAAGTTTGACTAATGTTCAACACAAACTCGTAATGATTTAACACAAATCTGACCCGACAAGACTCGATTTTCATCCCTAATTTTTGCCAGCACAAAAAATAAAATTAATTATTTTTATTTTTCATCCATCCAACCAAACACAAAGGAAGAAAAATGTATCATTTCTACTTTCCTTTCTTGAAGGATAGAAAGTGTATCTCTCATACTTTCCATTCTCCTTACTTTTCATCCTTCTTACCAAACGGAACATTAGTGTTAGTGTAGAGAATTTGTTTTTAACCGAACCAAAAAAGGAAAATAATACTATTTAAACCTAAAAATTTGATATAATTTGTTGATATAATAATGTGATTTCAATAAAACCATTGAATTAACACTAAATTCTAATGTTTGATGGGTCTCACATCCAACTGATTCGGACACCCTCACCGTTGAAACAAAAAAAAAAAAAATTAACTGCCTTTCCAAGCACTGCACTGGTTATATTCTTGCAATTTTTCTTTTGTCAGTAATGAAAGGGAATTTAATTGATTAATGTTAGATGGATCTAAAAATTACACTTAAAAATTAAATTTGATAATCTTAATTATTGAATAAGTAGTGGGTTCCAATAAATACTGGGACCATAATAAAATCAATACTTGAGATTATCAAATAATTTTTAAGTTTATATAGTATTACTCTTTTTAATTATGTATTATGAAGCTAAATGCTACAATTGATTATACAATCTGATTATACTTTTTTTCAAGTCAAACTTGTGCCGTACAGGATAAAACCCGTTTTTACATTCTAGTTTAATGTGCGGTGAAGGCTTGCAGACCATTCTTATCCAAAGATTCCCCGAAAATTAGGCAGTGTCATTCACCTAGAGGATGCAAGGCCTATTCAATGAGACTAAGCTGAATACCAGCTTTGAATATTTACAACATATTCTCTCTCTTTCTGCTGAAAACAATGGAAGAAAGACACCAAAAGCCTCACGCAATCTTCGTATTCTACCCATTACAAGGCCATGTTATCCCATCTGTCCACTTAGCCATCAAACTTGCAGAAAGAGGCTTCACCATAACCGTCATCAACACACACTCCATACACCACCAAACCTCCAGAGCCCAACCCGATGGCGAAGATGACATGTTTGCCACCGTCCGGCAAAAGGGTCTCGACATCCGTTACACCACCGTGCCGGACGGCCTTCCTGTGGGGTTCGACCGGTCGCTAAACCATGACCAGTTCATGGCTACTTTGTTGCATGTGTTCTCTGCCCATGTGGAGGAGGCGGTGGAGAAGATTGTGAGGTCGGAACCGCTGGTGAGTTGTTTGATCGCCGATACGTTCTTTGTGTGGCCGGGGAAGCTGGCAAGGAAGTACGGGCTTCTGTATATATCTTTCTGGACAGAGCCGGCCTTAGTTTTTACACTGTATTATCACCTGGACCTTCTGAGGATACATGGCCACTTTGGTTGTATTGGTAACTCTCTCTCTCTCTCCCTCTCCCCAAATATAATTGAACAGTGGTTATGGTCTTCCCGTATTTTGTTACATTTAGGGGCCTGTTTGGGTGTCCTTTGAATTGTAAAATGCTTTCATTCCACTTCTTATGACATTGGAAAAGTATATTCATGTCCAAAAAGGACATCAAAAAAGTTGAGAAAAAAAAGGGACATCCAAACACGTCCTAATTGCTCATTTCCACACTGGGGGATCTAAAACCACCACAGTGCTCTACTCTTTAGTTTTTTGGATAAATTATATTTAGACCCCTGAGGTTTGTCACTAATACACCTAGACCCCCTCAGGTATGGTAATTTACACTGACACCCCCTCACAACAACGGTTTTCAAACGGCGCAAACAGAAAAATTGAAAAGACTAATCAACCCTTACCGATAACCCAAATAAACTTAACCTTGGACAACTTATTCCAACCATAGAATTGTCACGATCCATATACAAACAACCTGAAATCCAAAAATAACCCCACCACTTCATCTTCCTCAAAACCACTGTGCCAACTCCGNACACACGATAAAAGTTTGAGGGGGTGTCAGTGTAATATGTTGTATCTGAGGGGGTTTATGTAGTTTAGTGACAAAATTTAGGAGGTCTGAATGTAATTTATCCTTATTTTTTTCAATCATTCACTTGATTAATGTGGAATTTATTATTCAATGCCCTTCCGAACTTACATGAAAGACTCCACCGTAGAGGCAGATACCAATTCCAATAGAAAATGATACATGATTAGTTGTATTTGACTGTTATCTCCACTTTAATCTTACATTGGTCCAATCTGCATTAGTTGTGCATAGACTAAGACCTCAATGTTTGCACTAATTATATCATTGTATTTATCGCACAATCTTCATCGCACGATTGTGTTTGAACGAGGTTCACAAATTTCACCCGAACTTCAACCAACCTACTCTCAAAACTCCATATCAACAAAGACTAATTCGAGATTTCTTATGACCAGAAATGCGCGAGGACCCAATAGATTACATCCCTGGTGTCCAGTCGATTGATCCAAAGGACATGATGTCGTATCTCCAAGAGTCGGATACATCAACGGTGTGCCACCAAATAATCTTCAGTGCATTCAAAGATGTCAAGGCTGCAGATTTTGTGCTGTGCAACACCATACAAGAGCTTGAACCCAACACCATATCAGCTCTACAGACCAAAATGCCATTCTTTGCTATTGGACCCATCTTCCCATCTGAGTTCACCAAAAGCATTGTGGCTACGAGCNTAAGGGTATTTTAGGAATTAAAATTTTAAAATATGTTGACATCAGTAAAATTTGACGGTGTTTCGAACGAGTTTTAACGATAGAATCTGTGTTATACACGATAAAAGTTTGAGGGGGTGTCAGTGTAATATGTTGTATCTGAGGGGGTTTATGTATTTTAGTGACAAAATTTAGGAGGTCTGAATGTAATTTACCCTTATTTTTTTCAATCATTCACTTGATTAATGTGGAATTTATTATTCAATGCCCTTCCGAACTTACATGAAAGACTCCACCGTAGAGGCAGATACCAATTCCAATAGAAAATGATACATGATTAGTTGTATTTGACTGTTATCTCCACTTTAATCTTACATTGGTCCAATCTGCATTAGTTGTGCATAGACTAAGACCTCAATGTTTGCACTAATTATATCATTGTATTTATCGCACAATCTTCATCGCACGATTGTGTTTGAACGAGGTTCACAAATTTCACCCGAACTTCAACCAACCTACTCTCAAAACTCCATATCAACAAAGACTAATTCGAGATTTCTTATGACCAGAAATGCGCGAGGACCCAATAGATTACATCCCTGGTGTCCAGTCGATTGATCCAAAGGACATGATGTCGTATCTCCAAGAGTCGGATACATCAACGGTGTGCCACCAAATAATCTTCAGTGCATTCAAAGATGTCAAGGCTGCAGATTTTGTGCTGTGCAACACCATACAAGAGCTTGAACCCAACACCATATCAGCTCTACAGACCAAAATGCCATTCTTTGCTATTGGACCCATCTTCCCATCTGAGTTCACCAAAAGCATTGTGGCTACGAGCATGTGGTCCGAGTCTGACTGCACCCAATGGCTCAACTCTAGGCCTCATGGCGCAGTTTTGTATCTGTCATTTGGTAGCTATGCTCATGTTACAAAAAATGATCTGACAGAGATAGCCAATGGTTTATTGCTTAGTAAGGTTAGTTTTATTTGGGTGCTTCGGCCTGATATCGTGAGCTCTGATGATGTTGATCCACTGCCCGATGGATTTAAGGAGGAGGTAGGTGATCGTGCGATGATCATACCTTGGTNTTACTCTGGTCACATCGCCTGTCATTTTTACCGTAGAAATTAATTCTCCATGGTGGAAAGTAATGTAATGTTCTTTCGACATCAATAAGCTGCTTGGTTTAAAGAGCAATCGAAAGTCCAATAATACAGCAAGCAGCCACTCTTCCATCTACCTCACCTGTTCTCTTGTTTTACTTTTCCAACACACACACACACACACTTATAATAACCCTTTAAAATCACTATGGCAAAATCCATTTTCCAACAAAAAAAAGTTTTTTTTTCCCGGAAAAGTTGAGTTCATTTGTTCAGCAAAAGAAAAGATTATAAAATATGTGGACTTACAACTACTCTTGACTACCTTTTCCTTAAAAAAATAAATTTTGTACATCCAATAATTGGAGGTTACTACTGGGCCCTCCATGTCATGATTGTAGGATATTCCAACTAGGGTGTTAATTTTTGACTAGATTACGAACCTGATTCGAACCGAATTCGACATGAACTCAAAAATAACACGATTCATTGACATAAAAAATTAATGGATCAAATTAAGGTTCGACACGAATAACATGATTAATGAGTACCGTAGATAAAAAATAATTATTTAATAAGTATTTTAGATAGAAAATAAGAAATTTATAATTTTTTAAATAATATTATATTAGTCGTTGTCAAATTAAATAATTTTTTATTAACACGAATATCGACACGTAGCAAAAGTAATACGACACGAAAATAACACGACCGAAAGTGATACGACACGACATGATTGATACCCCTAATTCCAACCATAGACTAATGAACCGCCTTTAACCCCACATGGTAGATAAAGATGTACCACCGACAAATTAAAAATTAATATATTTTAAATTTGAATTTTGATAATCTTTTAATATCAGGTCATGAGAAATTTATCTCTCATAAATACCTTATGCTCCATTTGGTACAATAGAAATTTGAAAGGATAGAATATTGGAGGGATAAGAAAAATCATGTTTGGTAGGAAAAAAAAATAGAAAAGATCAAAAAGTAGATGAATTATTTTCCTTCCAACTCACCAAAATCAATCTCTCCAAAATTGGAAGGAAAGTTGATGAAAAGTTTATTATTTGTATTAAGATGTATCTTATTTGTCTATATATCTTTTGATATATACATATGAAGGGGTTAAACCTCATGATTATACGTGACATAGCATTAAATGTGTTCACATGATGTTGATAAGATCAGCCACGTGATGAATAATCTTCCACTAAGAGCATTCTAACCGAATCGAACTCATCAGCCCGTTCAGCTAAACAGGGTAAGAGCTCGACTTGTACCAAGTCGAGTCCATCAAAGTGCTCAGCAAAGCAATTGAAGAAATCAGTTTGTACCAAACTAAGTTTCTTGATCTGTTTGAAAAATGTAAAGTGTGCTCGGCGTTCGACATGTCCGAGCTATTTAAAACGATAGATGGAAAGTTAAATATAAAAAGCACAAGAGACCAAGGTGAAAGGTACGCTGAATTCTCCTTATCTTAATGCAATTCTCTCTGTTCCATTATTGACTTAAGCATCAGAGTGCCTTCGATCGAAACACTTCGATCTTAGGCAGTTTGTTCGTTTTACAGAAAAGAAATTTGAAGATTGTTCAGTATTCTTTTCTAGAAATCACATCGCAAATTCACCATCAAAGGTATCTCTGATTTTTTGCCTCTACAACATATATTTCGTATACATTAATTTCATATGAAAATACAATGATAAAATATGTATATATATATATAAATTTTAAATTAAAAAAAATATTTTTTCCATCTTAATTAAAAATTTGGATTTATTTTTTAATTAAAATTTGGTCAACACGAATATAAACATGAACACGATAAAAAAATAAACAGGTCAACTTGTAACTCAACACGATATAATTAGTTAAATAAATTGAGTTAAGTTTGACTAATGTTCAACACAAACTCGTAATGATTTAACACAAATCTGACCCGACAAGACTCGATTTTCATCCCTAATTTTTGCCAGCACAAAAAATAAAATTAATTATTTTTATTTTTCATCCATCCAACCAAACACAAAGGAAGAAAAATGTATCATTTCTACTTTCCTTTCTTGAAGGATAGAAAGTGTATCTCTCATACTTTCCATTCTCCTTACTTTTCATCCTTCTTACCAAACGGAACATTAGTGTTAGTGTAGAGAATTTGTTTTTAACCGAACCAAAAAAGGAAAATAATACTATTTAAACCTAAAAATTTGATATAATTTGTTGATATAATAATGTGATTTCAATAAAACCATTGAATTAACACTAAATTCTAATGTTTGATGGGTCTCACATCCAACTGATTCGGACACCCTCACCGTTGAAACAAAAAAAAAAAAAATTAACTGCCTTTCCAAGCACTGCACTGGTTATATTCTTGCAATTTTTCTTTTGTCAGTAATGAAAGGGAATTTAATTGATTAATGTTAGATGGATCTAAAAATTACACTTAAAAATTAAATTTGATAATCTTAATTATTGAATAAGTAGTGGGTTCCAATAAATACTGGGACCATAATAAAATCAATACTTGAGATTATCAAATAATTTTTAAGTTTATATAGTATTACTCTTTTTAATTATGTATTATGAAGCTAAATGCTACAATTGATTATACAATCTGATTATACTTTTTTTCAAGTCAAACTTGTGCCGTACAGGATAAAACCCGTTTTTACATTCTAGTTTAATGTGCGGTGAAGGCTTGCAGACCATTCTTATCCAAAGATTCCCCGAAAATTAGGCAGTGTCATTCACCTAGAGGATGCAAGGCCTATTCAATGAGACTAAGCTGAATACCAGCTTTGAATATTTACAACATATTCTCTCTCTTTCTGCTGAAAACAATGGAAGAAAGACACCAAAAGCCTCACGCAATCTTCGTATTCTACCCATTACAAGGCCATGTTATCCCATCTGTCCACTTAGCCATCAAACTTGCAGAAAGAGGCTTCACCATAACCGTCATCAACACACACTCCATACACCACCAAACCTCCAGAGCCCAACCCGATGGCGAAGATGACATGTTTGCCACCGTCCGGCAAAAGGGTCTCGACATCCGTTACACCACCGTGCCGGACGGCCTTCCTGTGGGGTTCGACCGGTCGCTAAACCATGACCAGTTCATGGCTACTTTGTTGCATGTGTTCTCTGCCCATGTGGAGGAGGCGGTGGAGAAGATTGTGAGGTCGGAACCGCTGGTGAGTTGTTTGATCGCCGATACGTTCTTTGTGTGGCCGGGGAAGCTGGCAAGGAAGTACGGGCTTCTGTATATATCTTTCTGGACAGAGCCGGCCTTAGTTTTTACACTGTATTATCACCTGGACCTTCTGAGGATACATGGCCACTTTGGTTGTATTGGTAACTCTCTCTCTCTCTCCCTCTCCCCAAATATAATTGAACAGTGGTTATGGTCTTCCCGTATTTTGTTACATTTAGGGGCCTGTTTGGGTGTCCTTTGAATTGTAAAATGCTTTCATTCCACTTCTTATGACATTGGAAAAGTATATTCATGTCCAAAAAGGACATCAAAAAAGTTGAGAAAAAAAAGGGACATCCAAACACGTCCTAATTGCTCATTTCCACACTGGGGGATCTAAAACCACCACAGTGCTCTACTCTTTAGTTTTTTGGATAAATTATATTTAGACCCCTGAGGTTTGTCACTAATACACCTAGACCCCCTCAGGTATGGTAATTTACACT